TATATATAGTCACCAGACTGTACATTACATCCTATGACTGACTTATTTTATAACTGGAAATTTGTACCTTTTGACCACCTTTGCCCATTTTGTCCATAAGGCAATCACCAATCTTTTCTCTCTATACCATGAGCTTGGGGTTTTATGTTTTCATTTTAGATTCCATATATGTGAGATCTTACAGTATTTCTTTTTCTGGTGGACTGACTTCACTTAATGCCTTCATGGTCCATCCATGTTGTTGCAAATTTAAGATTTCTCTTTTATTTTTTGCTGTTAAGTTGTATGAGTTCTTTATATATTTTGGATATTAACCCCTTATCAGATATATGATCTGTAAATATTTTCTCCAGTTAGGTTGCCTTTTCATTTTGTTGCTGTTGCTGTGCAGAAACATTTGTTTGATGTAGTCCCATTTCTTGTTAATCTTTTGCTTAGTTCTATCCATTAGAAAAGTGGGACATTGTAGTCTTTAGTTATTGTTGAATTGTCTATTTTTTCCCCCTTCATATATTTTGAGGCTCTGTTATGTTGCGCCTATATACTTATAATTGTTCTATCTCCTGATAAATGGGCCCTTTTATCGTAGACTATTCCTCTTTATCTTGAGCAGTCCTTTTGTCTACAGTCAATTTTACTTTTATAAATGAGTAGCCACTCTGGCTTTCTTATGGTTGCTGTTTTTGCATGATGCTTATTTTTCAACCAATTTGTATCCTTGGCTCCAAAATCTGTCTCCTGTTGACATTATGTGATTGGATCTTCCTTCTTCAATTCCAGCCTGTCTCTTCATTGTGATTGGACCCACTCACATTTCATGTCATTACTGACATACAGTATCCCCCCCCCTTATCCACAGGGGATACACCCCCAGACACCTGAAACCACCAATTATATCCCAAACCCTCTATGCACTACGGATCTCATTGTAGCTGTTGGATTTGCGTTTCCCGAAGGCTAATTAATGATTGTGAGCATCTTTTCGTGTGCTTTCGGCCCATTTCTGTATCTTTGGAGAAATGCCTCTTTGGATTCTTTGCCTATTTTTAAATTGGATTGTCTTTTTATTAGAGTTGTAAGAATTCTTTTATGTTTCAGATACAAGTCCCTTATTAGATTCATGACTTAGAATTTGTTTCTCCCATTCTGTGGGTTTTTTCATTGCCTTGACTTGCATTTGTGTATAGTTTATCATAATAATGTGATAAGAATGATGAGTCCTGTGCTGATGATAATGTTATTGGGGTGGGAAAACATGCTGGTGGAGTTGGAAAATCAGGCCTTTTCTTCAGCAAAGGCTATGTTTGAACATTGCTGTGGACTCCGCTGTTGAAAGTAATTTGCTGCAGTTCAAAGTCCGGTGTGTGAAAGCTCCCCTCCCCGTTGAACAGTAGTTCTTGAGCATTTTCTGTATATGCCCCATCTCTTAGGAATACAGTTGTTGTGTTCTAGAAAAGTCTGTGTTACGTAGCCATTAACGATGACTTAGAATACTTGCCATGGGAAAATCATAAAAAGTGAAAAGTACAGTTTTAGAAAAAGTGCTTCTGCATTAAAAGCATTTTGCTAGAGTTCCTCTTCAAGGTGGGGGTGTGAGGAGAGGAATGGAAGTTTCTTCCTGATTTTTCAGCATCATCAGTGCATGGCCTGGGAGTTCACGGTACCCTGGAGCTTGTGCTGTCGGGTTAGAACCCTGGCTCTTCCCCTGTGACCGCCTGGTTATCTGCCCAGTTTCTTTACTCCTGAAATGGGGCTCATTATAGGCTATTCTGAGGGTTAAATAAACTTGTGCATATAACTCGCTTGGAATAGAGCCTCACATGAAGTAAGCACTCACGTTAGCGGTTATAATCGCCCTTAATAAGGAAAACTGTATTGAAAAGTATTGGAATTGGGGACTGAGTGAGTGTTGGGAAAAGAAGTTACGGCTGAGTGTGAATGCCCTTGAATCCTAGTGCTTACGTAACAGGTGGAGAGGAGGGAGCGGGCGCTGTTTCAGAGGTTGACAGTGTTGGGAGTGGAGACCAGCCAGGCTGCTGTTCACATTGGAGTCCGGCCTGGAGGGGTGGGCGTGGGAGTGGAAAAGATAACACTGATGCCGATGGGAAGGGGTTTGACCCACGCCAGCCCCCATTTTAGTGTGAGCACCTGCTTGTGTGCCAGTGAGGCCCTGGCATTCAGTGAGGAGCAGAGTTCAGGGAGAGATTCTCTCCTATAAGGACCATTTGAGCAGAGAGAGAATAATAACCGGGGAGGGGAGGAGCCTTCCTTGTCCTGGGGGGTCTCTGGTATTAAGGACTTCCCATTGAAAGCTGCTGGAGAAAGCCAGTTCAGCAAAGTGTAAAATAACTAGTAAGTGGCTCGCTTATTTCAAAGAAAGAATGCCAGCCTGGCGGCTCAGTCAGTTGGAACATCGTCCCCTACACCAGAAGGTTGAGAGTTCGAGTCCTGGTCAGGAGGCAGATGGTTGATGTTTCTCAGACCTCTCCCTCCCTTCCCTCGTCCCCCCCCCCTTAAGAAAACAAACATAATGGCAATCTTGATCCAGGTAGAAGGTGATGTTTTTCCCATCTTGGAGATGTTGAGATGCTAAGTTTGAATATGAAAAGATGCCGTTTTCTCCAGGCAGCCTGATCTTGCCATTTGGATTAAATGGCATTTATTAAGAGATGTAGCAGTAGTAGTCTTGCATAACTTAGTTATAGCATATCTTTGATAATTTTTTTCAGATACTCAAAATCCTACACAGTACTTATAAAGAGGGAAAAGAAAATTACATTTTAAAAATTTATTGTGTGCTTGGTGTTTGCAAAATACCTTTATTAAAATAATTCTCCCGGCATTTTTGCGGATAGCATTATCTCAGTTGGAAAGACCTGGAAAAATTGTGAGAGTTTCTTACTGGCCTTTAAGATAGGCAGCTTGTGAGGGGCAGAGGTAGGGTTTTGAACAAGAGTTGTGTTTGCGTCCAGAAATTAGTTTTAATGGATTCAGTGTTTTTAAAGTTCCTCAGATGATTTTATAGATTTGACAAATTTCTTATTCTTAAGTCCCCCCAAGCTAGCATCTGAAGGGAAAAGACAGGGTGGGGCCAGTGGCAGTCCGTGTGATTGGTCAGAGCATTGATGATCCGGGGGTCAGACCTTACTCTCCCTCCACCAGATGTTCATGTCCATGAAGCTTTGCGTGGGATCTTATGGGAGTGAATCTTCAAACCATCCACAGCCTTCAGTTAAGACCAACTGGCAGAACACAGTGTTGGTAGCTTAGACACAGCAGTTGATGAGAGGGATGGCGGAAGTGAAAGGGGAGACAGTCTTTTTAAGGTTTTTGGAGAGGGGAGGGCAGAGCTTGATTTTTTTTTCAGGAAGGACTCCAGCATATGTGTAGGCTAAGGACAAGGCCTGCGGGAGAAGATGAGGGGGTGCTGGGCATCGCCCGCTGGGGGGAGTGTACAGGGCCATTTTGAGGCCAGGTTGGGAACAAAAGGAAGAGATGGGAGCAGATTGCAGTGGAGAAGGATGGAGTTCCGCTGGTTAGCTGATGTTTGGAGTGGCAAGAAAAATGTTCAAATAAATTGCCTGCGGACCAGAATAGCTAAAGATAGACGATCTGAAAAGCCTGAAGAAACTCGCCTATGTCACATAACTTCTTGTAATGCAGGGTGTATCAAAATGGGAAACAAAAGCGAGAGGTTGCTCAATCATGTCATCTTTTGTTTTTCCAGTTCACATATGACAGCTTTTTCTGTCTGCCCTTAACCTCATCAGCACTTAAAATTTTTTCCTGTTGACAAGTGAAACAAAATCTTGTTAGAACCCCATCTCTGGGTTGAGTAATTACATTTAATTTTGAGGTGTAACTGTTAGGCTGTTCTGGGGTAAGTGCGGAGTGTTGGCCGCTTTACTTACAGCAATATATACCTATAACCAATCAGCTGCAGTTCTCAATCTGGCACATTAGAATCAATTACTGGGGTCGGTTTTTTGTTAGTTAACCCTCGCCTGAGGATATCTCTCCTATGGATTTCTAGAGAGAGTGGGGGGAGGGGGAAGAAGAGAGAGCAAGAGAAACATCTATGTGCTATTATAATCCATTTCATCTGGAGAGGGGCTTGGACGTCAGTGCTTCTTCAAGCCCCGCAGATGATTTTCCTGTGCAGCCAAGGATGAGACCCTTGGCCTAGAATTGCGGGGCTGGTGAGGGTCCATGGCCCTATAGTTTGGTCATGCTGCGGGAGTTCCTGAGGGCAGGACCTGGCCCACAGTGGAGCGTCGTGGTCACTCGGCAGTCGGCCACTTCACAGAGGCAGTTGCATTGGACTAATAGTATAGAGCAGTGATGGCGAACCTATGACACGCGTGTCAGAGGTGACACGCGAACTCATTTTTTTGGTTGATTTTTCTTTGTTAAATGGCATTTAAATTTGTAAAGTAAATATCATAAATATAGGTCTTTGTTTTACTATGGTTGCAAAGATCAAAACATTTCTATATGTGACACGGCACCAGAGTTAAGTTAGGGTTTTTCAAAATGCTGACACGCCGAGCTCAAAAGGTTCACCATCACTGGACTAGAGGTTGAACCTTGAAAGAAAAGGTCCCCCAAAGTTTTGAAGTTTCTGTTAAAACCATGGGTAAGCTTGTTTAAAAACCACTTGGTGCCATTGATGATGCTAGCTGTGCAGTGCTTCCTGAAAAGTTTTTAAAAATGAGGTTTTTTCACCCTTGTTTGTCTTGAGTGTACACATTTTTGCAGGCATTTAAGGCATTAGTAAATGGAGGACAGTTACGTTTCCTTGATATGACAGCTGATGTCCTGTCACCGGTTTGTTAAGTTGGATATAGTATTCATGAAACTGGAGCTTTCCACTTTGCCCTCTCATTTCTGTAACTACCTTCTCCTGGCTGATGTCACTGGTCATATTAAGTGTGAACAGTTCCTTAGTGCATGTATTTTCTATCTAAAACAAATGTTCCTTTTTTCTCTTCTGCTTGTAGGTTATGCAATGGTCTGTGCAGGATGGTTTATTCTTGAATTGGAGCTTCCGAAGACTGACAGATGCTGGTACTTCTATAAGTGGACTCTAATTTCTTTTCTCAAGATAACTACATAAGCAGACAAAATTGCAAAGATCTGCCCTGTGTCGAGTATGACAGCCACGACTCGTGGCTCTCCGGTAGGAGGGAATGACAACCAGGGCCAGGCTCCTGATGGCCAGTCTCAGCCACCCCTCCAGCAGAATCAGGTAGGACTTTGAGGAGGCTCATCAAAGTTACATTGGTATGTCTACTGGTACCGTGGGATACTTAACGAATGGACCATGTTCTGAAGAATTTGTGAAACAACCATAAACCAGTTTTAGAAAAGTCAATGTTCGCTGTCTCTCACAGGAACAAGAAAAAGAAAGCTCGGGTGTTGTAGATGGTGACACTTGAGTATGTAGTCCTTTTTCTGTGAGTCGTTAAAATTAAGTATTTAAAGCCATGTGTCAGTTCTGGAGGAAAGCAAGAAGTCATCCAGCCCTATGACCCTGGGTAACTGATATAATAGATTAGGCATTCTCTAGTCAAGTGTAATCAAACAGAGCTGCGCAAGCCCTAGCAGGTATGGCTCAGTGGATACAGCATCGGCCTGCGGACTGAAGGGTCCCAGGTTCAATTCTGGTCAAGGGCATGTACCTGGGTTGCAGGCACATCCCCAGTAGGGGGCGTGTGGGAGGCAGCTGATCGATGATTCCCTCTCATCATTGATGTTTCTCTCTCTCTGAAATCAATAAAAATATATTTTAAAAAGAAGGAAGGAAAAGAGCTGTACCTCCATCTTCCTCTCTCCCTTTCTTCCTCTCCCCCTGCCATTTTAAAGAAGTGAGCAGGTCATGTTTTAATATTTTCCCAAATAAATGTGTCAACTTTATTTCTCTTTCTCTCCAGTCCCCACTTTTAAGACATAAAAGCACTGAAGTCTGTGGTCACAGGTCTTGGACAGAGTTAAGTCTTTCCTGTGTCATGAATTTGTTAGCCAGTATTCAGGTTTCTTTAAACATAGTCTAAGGTTGAGTGCCAAAGATTTCTATTTTTAAACTGGGAGCTAGTACTGAAGTTTGAATATCTTTTGCTCCCTTTTGTTCCAGGCTTCATACCTGTGTTATGCATGGATTCCTAATGTCTTTTGCAATGTTTATGGCTTGCGTGGCTTTAAACAAAATTAAACCTCTATTCTAGCCTTATTTTTATGTAAGGTATTATTTTTTTAAAAAAAAAATTTTTTATTGATTTCAGAGAGAAAGGGAGGGGGCGGAGAGAGAGAAACATCAATGATGAGAGAGAATCATGGATGCCTCCTACACGCCCCCTACTGGGGATTGAGCCCACAACCTAGGTATGTGCCCTTGAACGGAATTGAACCTGGGACTCTTCAGTCTGCAGGCCGACGCTCTATCCACTGAGCCAAACCAGCTAGGGCTAAGGTGTGCTTGATAATTCTTAGAGCTCTTGGGTTTCAATTTATTATTATGTGGTATTCCATTTAATATTATGCATCTACATTATGTTCTCTTCTAATCTTTGCAATTCGGAAAGTGATGATTTAAACAACAAAGGAACAAAATAAATTACATTCTTAACTATTGAGTCCCTCTTTCATTTTCTTATTCTCTACTTTTTAATGTTAGAATTTTAGTTTCAGTATTTCACAAGATTTGACACTGTTGGACCCAGAAAAAGGAACTATAGCATTAATCACTTCCCAGCTTAAAGCTTTCTTTTGGGATATGCTTTTACATATTGGCGTTGAAGGACTTGCTAAAATCCATCAGGTTCTTTTCACTTCACATGTAATATTTTTTTTAAAGGGTGTTCCCTCCGGGGGAATTTTAGGCCCCAGTGTGTAGGAACGCTCGGTGGCACATGAAATAGCCCTGGCAAAGGCACTGGCTGAGCAAGCTTGGGTGCTGCTGGGTGGTGCGCTTTTCCGGGATGGAATTGGGCAATGCACATGCATATCAGTAGCACTAGGAGATCGCTTCTACTGTTGTAGTAATTCTATGTCCAGGATCCTATCCTAAGGAATGATTGAAGTTCAACACAAAGATGGATGTATAAGAAGATTCATTGCAGCTCTGTTTATCTTAGCAATAAAAGTTGCAAAATACTAACTATCCTTTCATTTGTTTAATTCATTTAATACGATATGGCATTAAACTTTTTATAAAAGATTCTTAATGTGTAGGAAAATGCACAAATGTCAAATGGAAAGACACAGGCTTAATTAAGCAGGTATCATCCTAATTTTATTCAAACTATATACATATGTAGGCGGGGGGGGGGGGTTTGCTCATAGAACAAAGATCGGAAGGAAATAATTTTAAATGTTATTGGTGCTTATCTGTGGTTCCATTACAGGTATTTTGTTATTTTTGTCTTTGTAATTTCTGTGAGCATGTATATAGGAATGTGTAAAAGTAGGTTTACAGTTGTGAGTACATGAAAGTTTATTATTTATAATATATATACTGGGGGGAAGGGGCTTTTAAAAAATAATAAACCAGCGTTCCTAAGAATGAAGGTCCTAAAACTTTATTAGGTTGTGAAAGTATGCACAGCTGAAGTAGGGTGATAACTAGAAAGGAAGAATGAAAGAATAAAATTAGCCACATCAGGTGAAAATGATGTGATTATTTAGAAACCACAATCATGAAGTTTTTATAGTTTCTGGAGAATGATCTGAGACTAGGAAAAGTATAGAATAAAGTTGTTGTTTTTCTCCTTCAAATTAAAAAATAAGTTATAAATCAAAACTCTTAAATCTGTAAAATGTGACGTTTTCTGTTTGTGTAATAAAGTCTGTCGTGGTGGGAAGTGTAAGCAGAACAGCAGTCTACATTGTGATTAAGAACACAAACTACAGAATGAGATCTGGGTTCAAATCTTTTTTTTTTTAAATATATTTTATTGACTTTTTACAGAGAGGAAGGGAGAGAGATAGCTAGAAACATCGATGAGAGAGAAACATCGATCAGCTGCCCCCTGCACACCCCCCACTGGGGATGTGCCCGCAACCCAGGCACATGCCCTTGACCGGAATCAAACCCGGGACCCTTGAGTCCACAGGCCTACGCTCCATCCACTGAGCCAAACCGGCCTCGGCTGGGTTCAAATCTTGACCACAGAGTTGGCGCTTTGTAACCTTGGGCTAATTCATGATGGTCTGAGTGTGTCTTTTCATCTGTTAAATGGCAGACTACTTCCTTAGGCTGTTGAGAATTAAATGAAATTCTTTTAAAGCATAGCCTGAAACCTAAGCTTACAATATGTATGTCATTTCCCCCTAATCAGTGTTGGTGTTTGAATTCTTAGATATTGTACATATGTTATAGAAAGCTAAATCTGGAATTGTTGATTTTTAAGACGCCATCGCCTGATTCCTCCAATGAAAATTCCCCGGCAACTCCCCCAGATGAGCAAGGTCAGGGTGATGCTCCCCCACAGCTGGAAGAGGAGGAGCCTGCGTTCCCGCATACGGACCTCGCCAAGTTGGATGACATGATCAATAGGTGAGTTGCTTTGGTTTGGCTTTGAGTGTGTGTGATACTCTCAGCATAGTGATGGGTAGTGGATAGAAAAAGAGAAAGCGTGGACAGGATACCATAGTCACCACACTGCCTCCTTAATAGCCTGGCATTGTCAAGTAAGTCATTGTCAAGTACTTAGAACCTGTGGTTCTTAATGGACTTTAAAAATGAAAGGGCGCTGTGCCAATAGTTTTCAGATTGCTCGCAACCAGAGCTGGTATGCTTCTGCAGTAGAGCTGTGTGTGTGTGATTCCCTTTGAGATTTTAGGAAGTTTTTTTCCTTACTGGCATGTTGGTTGCAGGGCTGCTGGATGACTTGAATGATTTTTACCTGGCCCTGAGGTAAACCAGGTCATAGAGAGATCCTAGCTGATCGGGCCTCTGCTGGCACCAGAGACAGCGCCGCCAGGATGCTGCCTACATCCTTTGCTGCATCCTGGTTTGAGGGAGGCAGCGGTTGGGTACCTGTGAAGCGGATGAGTGAATTAGGAGACTCCCCTCCCACTTAGCCTTCAGGAAAAGTTGACAAAGTGATGAATTAAAGCAGAAATCAATCATTGCCTCCGAATTTTGTTCTTTGTGAGGAAATTGAAAACAACTAAGCAGTGACTCATCATAATGTCTCCTAATCTGAATCCTGAAAGAGGACTTTCCCACAAACTCTAACAATAGCTTATCCACTTAATTGACATTTGATTATGACAGTAGGTTTATATTCTATTAAAATAATTTTATTTCTCCCTCTCATAGCTGTATCTTCTGTTTGACAGTTCCTTAAAAGCGTTGGAAAACAAGTCTCAACGCAACTACACTGCCAACCTTGTTTCAGTATTTTAATGTTATTTGAATATTAGTATTTTCATGATGACGTATTATAATTAGTAGCTCATTTATAGTGCACTAATCAACATCTTTTTATATTTTTCAAACTCGTAGGCCTCGGTGGGTGGTCCCAGTGTTGCCGAAAGGGAATTAGAAATGCTTTTGGAAGCTGCTATTGATCTTAGTAAAAAAGGTGAGTTCCAGTGTTGGTACGCCCTGCATAGTGTGCGCTGCTACATAGCCTTTCACTCCGTCGCTGAGCACTTGACTTTTTCTCTTTCACATCTAACAATGTTTTCTTGCCATGGCTTGTGGTATATGCCTAGAGCAAGGGTTCATGTCCTTTGGACAGCCTTAAGGGTGTTTGTAAACTTTCTGAAGTTATACATATGTACATGCATATTTAAAGCAAACTGCCTAGCTTACATGGTTTTTTATTTAATACATAGGAAAAGTTTGATTTTTCTCTAAAAAACTTGAAAGATGAGGTCAGTTTTTTTATTTTTTTCAATAAGCCAAGAAAAAGGCATCTGGTCTTTTTATTCTATCATCTAGAAGTAAATACTTAATGTTGGAATTAATCTTTTTCCCCAATGACTTTGGTCTACTTCAGGTGCAGTTGAATTCTCCTTAGCAAAGGACTACTATTGTAGCATTCTCTATTCACTTTTTTAGGAATTGGAAATTAAAATAAAGGGCAGTTACAGTTCTTGAAATAAATGTTTTTATTGATTTCAGAGAGAGGGAAGAGGGAGAGAGAGAAACATCAATGGTGAGAGAGAGTCACGGATCAGCTGCCTCCTGCACGCCCCACACTGGGGCTCTAGCCTGCCACTTGGGCATGTGCCCTGACCGGGCATCAAACTGTGACCTCCTGGTTCATAGGTTGATGATCAACCACTGAGCCACACTGTCTAGTCGGACAGTTACATTTCAGTTCCTGATATAGGGTAGCCATGGATATGTTCTAGTTGTCAGTTGGTATAAATAATGTAATAAGCTATGAAAACGCATGATCAGATTTCAATTATTTTCCACTGCCTCAAGTATTTTATGTTCATTTGCACATTTATTTATCAATTCAAATTTTTAGAGACTTCTGTCCTTGACATGATCTAGGCACTGGACATGTATCTCCCCCACCTCTATATTTCTTTTCTGGGACTATCTTGTCATTTCTTTTATATAATTAAAATCCTAAGGCTCTAGTCAGCCTTTGTTAGCTGTCAGTGAATAGTTTATAATTACTTACTACCTTTTATTGTATAATTAGACATCATAAAACAACCAGAGAAATACTTTGTTTACATTAATTGTTTTCCCCTTTTCCTTAGGCCTTGATGTTAAAAGTGAAGCATGTCAGCGATTCTTTCGAGATGGGCTCACAATATCCTTCACTAAAATCCTTACAGACGAGGCAGTGAGTGGCTGGAAGTTTGAAATTCACGTGAGTCTTGCATTTTGACTTTAAAAAATTCAGATTTATGAAGTGATACTTGTATTTTTCATTCATACACACGCACACATATTTGGGTATATATATATATATTTGATCCTTTGGTTGAATTAAAAAGGTCTGAAAATGCAGAAGTTTGAGAATGCTTTTTATAAATTATAATTTCTATTGAAGGAAGCGTGGTCATTTAGAATGAGTATGAGCTTTAGATTTAGGAAACTTGGGTTTAATCTGCGACCTTAGGCAAATCACCGCATTTCATTGACATGATGATGCTCTCAGTTGTGAGGTGCACTGCTCATTTCTTATGTGCCACTAAGGGAGAAACATACCCAAGATGGGGATCTAATACCTGGGACACTAGGTTAATGCAGAGAAATCAACCCACCATACAGAGACAGCAAAGAAACCTACATGCCTCAACTTTGGCATGTGACAGAGGTGAAAACGGAAAATTTAAACCACAAGCCGCTATTCAAACATATTTGTAGTCTTGAATTCAAATCGTAGTTGTGGCACAAAAAAACTCTGCAGTGGAGAATTGAAAGCGTTCTCAGGTGTCACCAAGTGACTGGCGAAAGCACACAAGCCCTCTATGGACACCTTCAGTCTAGCAAAATGCACTGTAACTATAGACCTGGAAACTTGGCAAGTGCTGGCACATTTTCGCCTTGAGGCTTAGCAAATCTCCACCTTGGATAATTGCTGTATTGTTTCCATTTTAGAATTGCTGCCTCTAGTATATAAATTCCAAAGAGAAAAACAGTGGTGATTTGCATCTTGTCTGTGGACATAGAGCGTTGCCTTCTTCGTTTTCTAAGCTGTTCCAAATGGCTTTTGAAACTAGGTACTATGTAAATTATAAAGTAGATGCGATTTTGTCTTTTGATATGTCCGTTTGTTCCCAATATTAGTGAAATGTCCAAATGATCAATATAGAAGAATGGAAAGAGCATTACAACATAATTAATGAAGATCAGAAAGTATTTGTTTGGAATTGCAATGTTTTGATCTTGTGAATCACCTTTCCCCCATATCTATAACAGAGGTGTATTATCAATAACACTCATCGCCTGGTGGAACTATGTGTGGCCAAGTTGTCCCAAGACTGGTTTCCACTTCTAGAACTTCTCTCCATGGCCTTAAATCCCCATTGCAAGTTCCATATCTACAATGGTACCCGTCCGTGCGAATCCGTGTCCTCAAGTGTTCAGTTGCCTGAAGATGAACTCTTCGCTCGTTCTCCAGACCCTCGCTCACCAAAAGTGTGTGGTTTGTTATTTTCACAATTCCCTGTTACAGTTGCTTTGCTGTGCCACAGAACTTTAAGCGATCGAACCTCCTAGCAACGTAGGGAAGAATAATGTAATATTGCTCTTCAAGAGGTCTGCATTATTTTGTGTTTGGGGATTTCTTTTTCTACTTTATTGAGGTATAATTGACAAAATAGCTTTGGACTGGATTTTTTTAAGCTTTCACTATGTAGTTAGTCCCCATTGTTCTGCCCAGCCTCTTGGGAAATCGTGCTGATTTGGATTAGTATAAAGCAAACCGTATTTTTCCTTTTAAATACTACTCTGACCAAGGCTACAATTATGTCCAAGATTTCGACTCCAAGATCAAGTATATCCTATAAGTGTCGTAAAAGTAAAATTACAAAAATGATAAAGCAAAAAGAGTAAAACATCAATATCAATGAAATAGTATACATAAATGCAATCACGTAAAAGTTCTCTGATGTAAATTTTTTATGTCGGCATAAACGGTGTATACTTAAAAATATACCCCTAACTGCCGAAACCGGTTTGGCTCAGTGGATAGAGCGTCGGCTTGCGGACTGAAAGGTCCCAGGTTCGATTCCGGTCAAGGGCATGTACCTGGGTTGCGGGCACATCCCCAGTGGGAGATGTGCAGGAGGCAGCTGATCGATGTTCCTCTCTCATCAATGTTTCTAACTCTCTATCTCTCTCTCCCTTCCTCTCTGTAAAAAATCAATAAAATATATTAAAAAATATATATATACCCCTAACTATATAATTCTTATGTAAATATTACATAATTAACAATACAGTTTTAATTTTTAGACATTAGGGAGACATTTTTAATATTGTGGGCCCTATAAATAGAAAAAAACAGCCAGGAAAATTTCAATTTATGCATATGATGGGTGGGTTTATTCTGTTAGAAGTGAAAATGGTCACAAGGTGTGGAATTTAGAGCTGAGGTTTTCTGATATTCCCCACGGCTCGTATTATTGCCACTTCCGGTTTATTTGTGCTTGAGCAAACCAAATTAATTTTGAAATGGTGGCATTCTCCAAAATATACCTGTATTCCTGTCTTTAGTTTAGTTTATTTTTTCCTGTGTAGGTCAATAATAATCTGTAAGAGACTTATTAAGATGGATTCTAGTTAAAGATATTTTCTCTTTCTTTCAAGCCTAGCTCTTGAGTATTAATAATTACTGGGTATTCCTAATTGCTTACACATACATTGCAGCTGAAAACATGGGGAGATTATATCAGCATAATGGTTTCGTCCCGATTACTGAGGTAAAAATACATCACATCAGTGTGTGTGTGCTTAGGGTTGCTGGATGCCGAGAGGCACCTGGTGAATTAATTGTTTTGAATTAGCTTATAAGACCAAAAAAAAAAAAAGGTAGGAAATAATGATTTTATAGAAATACAACAGTTGATTTATTAGAGAAATTTCGTTAATTTAGATTCTCATAAAATCACATCAGAACTACCCCGAGCTCCAGCCTATTGTCTTTTTAAATCAGTTCCTTTTTACTTAGCATTTTTCATTTTTGCTAGACATGGCTTTTGGTTTTTCGATTGTGGCAGAAATTATTTTGCTTAGGGCTTAGTGGAGAAACTGGCTTCTGAAATGTGGCCTTTAAGAAGAAGGCACGGTATCAGGTCATCATGTGTACATAAATGTTTAGACACATTTGATTCTTAGATCTCTAACATTTTAATTCACTTAAGTTTTCACATGTAAGCATGCCTTTAGCTACTAGTACATCCCCATTGGCATTTTACTTTGAGTCACTGCTATTTCTTTGGGAAGCAGTTGAAAGACAACCTATACTATTACATCATGGTGCCTCTAAGATGAGAACTGAGTGCGTTCCCATGAGTCAGCAAAAGCATCAACCTGCATGTTCTAGTTAGGAGAATCAGATCATACCAGGGATTGGTTACCTGTAATAAAAAATGAATTCAAACATCTTAGTTACTGAATATAGTGTGTGTGTGTGTGTGTGTGTGTGTGTGTGTGTGTGTGTGTGTGTGTTTAAAGACTCTCTTATCAGATGATAAAAAGGTATTTTCATATGATGGGATCTATGAAATCAAAGTCTGGCTTCTAATTCCTGTGCACCAGCTATATTGGTCTGAGCAGACAGCTGTGCCTTAGTCATGAACTCTGTCCGGCTTCTTAGGCTTCTGTGTCTCAGCATTACTGTGAGCATGTGCAGTATTTTGTTCTGTTGGGCTTTTTTAAGATGATTTTACATAATAATTTTCTTTTATTGAATTTCTTGCTTCTAGTATGTTTCAGTCAAGAAATGACTTCAGATAGTACTTTTGCCCCTAAAGGCAGGAAGTTAACTTTCTTCATTAACTGTATTGCAGGGTTGGCTAGTGGATCTCCTCAACAAATTCGGCACTTTAAATGGGTTCCAGATTTTGCATGATCGTTTTATTAGTGGATCAGCATTAAATGTTCAAATAATTGCAGCTCTTATTAAGTAAGTTATGTTTTAAAATAAATCTTCAGTGCATTCTAGAAATTGCTCGATAAATTGAGTTTCTCTTTTCAAGTATGGTTTCTTCTTTAACTGATAACTTGGATTTTTTAAGTTAATATAAATAGTCAAGTTCAGTCTTAGTTGCTTGTAAGAAATCACGTATTACAAGAGTAATCCTCATTGCCTTTCTTATTTCAGACCATTTGGACAAAGCTATGAATTTCTCACTCTTCACACGGTGAAAAAGTACTTTCTTCCAGTCATAGAAATGGTTCCACAGTTTTTAGAAAACTTAACTGATGAAGAGCTGAAAAAAGAAGCAAAGAATGAAGCCAAAAATGATGCCCTCTCAATGATTATTAAATCTTTGAAGAATTTAGCGTCAAGGGTTCCAGGACAAGAAGAAACTGTAAAAAATTTAGAAATATTTAGGTTAAAAATGATACTTAGGTAAGATATTTACCTCTTGAAACAATTATTTATTGGACACTTAGAATCATACTTACTGAGTTTCTTTTACAGATTATTGCAAATTTCTTCTTTCAATGGAAAGATGAATGCACTGAATGAGGTTAATAAGGTGATTTCTAGTGTCTCGTACTACACTCACCGGCATGGGAACCCCGAGGAGGAAGAGTGGCTCACAGCTGAACGAATGGCAGTAAGTCCTTGATTTTCCTCTCATGAATCTACCCACGGCAAAAGATAGAATAGCTCTACTCAAAGTCAGTGTTTGCATTTCAGAGAAAACCATGAAGTTGAGAAGTGTTTGGATTGATTTATGACTCTGCTAATCCTGATAATTTTTTGCAATAGCATAGTTTATTATTTGGTAACTAGAGGCCCGGTGCATGAAATTTGTGCAAGGGGTTCAGCCCTCGCAGCCCAGGCTTCGTCTGGAAGGTCACCTGGACAGTCATTCTGCTGTCCGGGCTAATTAGCGTGTTAGTTCTTTATTATGTAGGATGATATGAGCATCTTAGCACACCTGTGGTCAACTTACTGCTGAAGTAATAGCTTGTTGGGCGGGGTTGGTTGAAAAGGAGCATATAAAGATCATCTTGGAAATAGATTGGTCAGTATTTGGTACTTAAAGATTTTCAAATAGGAAATACAGTTGCTAGAATAAGATCTACATGATTTACTGTTTGATCGTTTTAAGCACTTAACATTTATATCATTTTGACATTGAAAGTTTAGGAAACCTTATTTACCATACATGTTTGTATATATGGCATTTTCTTAACTATTGCTAATTAATACTGCTTGTAATTTTTAAAAATTTTTATTCAGCTTATTTAAACTTAAAGGGGGTGGGGGATAAAAACAGTTCACCCATTTCTCTTATCCCCTGCCTCTTGCAACCACCCATCTGTTCTCTATGCGCTTTCTTTGGTGTGTTTATTTGTCTGGCTTATTGTACTTAACGTAAGCCCCTGGTTGTCACAAACGCCAAGGTTTCATTCTTTTTGTGTGTGTGTGTGGCTGAATAATATTCCAGTTTGTGCACCAGTTTCTTTACCCACTCCTCTATCAATGGGCACTTGGGTTGCTCCCTTATGTTGGCTATTGTACAGAATGCTGCAATGAGAGTGCAGATATCTCTATGAGAGGAGAAGCTCATTTCTTTGGGAAATGTGCCCTCTAGTGGTATTCCTGGATCATACGCCAGTTCTGTTTTTAACAAACCTCTGTCCTTTTTCCAAGCTGGTTGCACAAATTTACATTCCCAACCACAGTGTATAAGGGTTCCTTTTTTTCCATCTCTTCACCAACACTTACTTGTTGTCTTTTCAATGATGCCACTTTCACAGGTGCGAGGTACTAGCTCATTGTGGTTTTGAGTCGCATTTTCCCTGGTGACTGATGTTGATCATCTTTTCATGGACCTGTTGGCCATCTCGATGTCATCTTTGGGAAAATGTCTATTCAGATCTTCTGCCCATTTTTAAATTGGATTGCTTTTTTGCTATTGAGTTGTATGAGTTCTATACGTATTTTGGATATTAGCACCTTAATAGATACACGATTTGCAGTTATTTTCTCCCATCCAGTAGGTTGCCTTTTAGTTTTGTTGATGGTTTCCTTTTCTGTGTAGAAGCTTTTGTTTGATGGAGGCTTGCCTGTTTATCTTTGCTTTGGTTATAATGTAGTTTTTAAAGGAAGTATGCTGCTTTAAAAAGATGGGTCGAATCACCTTAGTACATACTGTCTGGCAGTACTGGCGAGACCTCTGTGTAAGAACTGCCCTTGTTCTCAAGGTCCTTTCCGTTTAACTGGGGAGAATGATTCTAATGTGATACAAGGTATGTAGAGGTGCCTAGTCATCGGCCCTGGGCTAGGGGTTTAGGTGGGAGACGAAAGGTTTTGTGTGTGTTGTCTATCCACTCAGGTCTCTTTAAAAGCTTCTGTTTAGTTCCTGCTTTAAGACGATTTCCGAATTGTGTTTAGGAATGGATACAGCAGAACAACATCTTATCCATTGTCTTGCGAGACAGCCTGCACCAGCCACAGTACGTGGAGAAGCTGGAGAAGATTCTTCGTTTCGTCATCAAAGAAAAGGCTCTGACCTTACAAGACCTTGATAATATCTGGGCAGCACAGGTATGGAATGTAGAATAGTGGCTATTTGAATTTTAAAAGAAAGAAAGACGTTAATACTAAGGAAATAGAGTAGTTGGTAATATTAATATATTTAAATGCTTGTTGTTTACAGCGATCCTGTCAGGAATCTTTTTGAAATAGCCAATAATATTTTTTAATAAAAATATATAACATTATCTACGGGATGTATTTGGTCATTGTGGGTGGTTTTAAATAAGAGGCAAACTGTGAAATAATAAGGAATGTCTATTAAAACAGTGAAGGACATCTCTAATTGGTTTCTTCAAAAACAATACAAAGAAAAAGGTCACTGTGAGGAGTGAGATCACTAGATTGTTTATAAAAATCTATAATCAAAGGATTTCTAGTTTCTCAGAGAGAAGAGAAAACGTTTTTATTTCAGGGCTGGAAACTGTTTTTCTCCTACGTGCAGTGTTAAAATTGGCACATTAAATTCAATAACGAAGGTTCACGTGAATTCCCATGCATATCAAAAAATTAAATTGTCAGGTTTTAGATGGCAGTTTCAAAGCATTTAAAATGTCACACATTTTTTATGTTCGTGTTTACACAGATGGAGCTGGGAATACTTTATTAATTAACTAGAGGGGGCGGGGGGGGGGGGGGAGAGGCACAGGAGGGCTCCAGGGCATGTCAGGCCCATCTCTCCCAGTCCCAATCAGCTGGACCCCAGCAGCAAGCTAACCTACCAGTCGGAGCATCTGCCCCCTGGTGGTCAGTGCGCGTAATAGCGACTGGTGGAATGAACCGTCAGACACTTGGCATATTAGGCTTGTATTATACAGGATGGTTGTCAGCAGGCCCTATACACTCCTTCCCTGCTGTTCAAAGTCTCTGGTTTTCTTTGGGTTTTCACTAGGCGGGGAAGCACGAGGCCATTGTGAAGAATGTACATGATTTACTGGCAAAGTTGGCCTGGGATTTTTCTCCTGAACAACTCGATCATCTCTTTGATTGCTTTAAGGTAAGAGTTAACATAAATTAAAGGAGCACCATTTTATTTTTAATAAATTTCATTCATTAGATCTGTGAGGTGTTCTAGATCAGTGGTTCTCAACCTTCTAGCCCTTTAAATACAGTTCCTCATGTTGACCCAACCATAAAATTATTTTCGTTGCTACTTCATAACTGTAATGTTGCTACTGTTATGAATCGTCATGTAAATATCTGATATGCAGGATGGTCTTAGGCAACCCCTGTGAAAGGGTCGTTCAACTGCCAAAGGGGTCGCGACCCACAGGTTGAGAACCGATGTTCTAGATAATCACTTTGAAGAATTCTGTGCTCAGCCATGTTTCTGTGATGAATATATAGCTAATCTGGGGACAGTGTAAGCAGTGAGAAAGAAATGTGTTGTTTCATGTCATTTAAATGTCTTTTCTAGGCAAGTTGGACAAATGCAAGTAAAAAGCAGCGGGAGAAGCTGCTGGAGCTGATTCGTCGTCTTGCGGAGGATGATAAGGACGGTGTGATGGCGCACAAGGTGCTGAACCTCCTGTGGAACCTGGCCCACAGCGACGACGTGCCCGTGGACATCATGGACCTGGCCCTCAGCGCCCACATCAAAATCCTCGATTACAGCTGCTCGCAGGTAAGCGGGTGCCGCTCGGCGCCTGCCCGCCCTCCCTCTCTCTCTCTCTCTCTCTCTCTCTCTCTTTCTCTTTCTCTCTCTCTCTCTCTCTCTCTCTCGGGCTCTTCTTCACAATTAGGGTGGCTTAGCTACAGAATAGTCTCAGGTTATTCCAATATTATTTTTGAAGCAATTTTCAAGGATTGACTTACTTTGTTCGTATAAGTTTACATCCTCTTCTTAGGGGTCTGTCACAGTTTGGGATATCATCTGAAAAGCGTTTTAGTCTCTTTGGGAGAAAGGCAGTACAGCCCACACAGGCCGTATGGTGGTGGTGGTTTGTTACATGTATGATGCTGAAATGCCACTTTCAACCAGATCATGAGATAGAAGATATTAAAGCTGGGTAGAGACTTCAGATGGTGAGGGAAGTTAGGTTTTCTTTGCTTATAGAGAAGTTAGAAAAAAATAATAAAATTTCCTAAACAGCAAAGCATTCAGTGCCTTTTCCTGCAAACAAATGACACAACAGCTTCCCTGCATTCTAACTTGTGGTATATGTATCCTTTTAATTCATGCATGGACATTGCTGAACAACCAGTTTCTCACTTAATTAGAGCTATTTGCTACACCGATGAACTGAAATTTCAGTAAGAGCTGAAATAAGCTCAAGTAGGTGTGTGTGACAGATGCTACTGTTTTTGACTCTGCTTGCTTGTGACCGTTCGTTAAGTATTTATTTAATATAGCAACCAGTAACTGGAGACACACAAAACAATTCGAACTTAAAATTAAGTGCGCAGACCTGCATTTCTGATTATTATTGACTGGGGAAGGACTAACGTACATGAGGTATGAGAAGTAAACATGGTACATGAAATAACGTTGGCTCTAACTGTGCTTATACACGTTTCTGGCCCTTTCTCTCCTTGTGTGTATGTGGACATGTCCTTGTTTTTATTTGTGGTGAAACTTAGTTGCCATACCATCATTGGCAAAAATATCCTCAATGTTCCTCGGTGTACTAAAAGCAAAGCTGTGTAGTGTAACCATCAGGGTTCTCTGTTATTGCTGAATTTTATTATTTGGTAGAATCTCTAAAACCATTGATACAGTTCAATGCCCACTTCCTGGCAAATGTTTCAAATCCCAGTTTCTGTCAGTGTGCCTAATGCTTCGTCTCTAGACCTTTGTGTAGCTAGCTATAGCTGTATCCGAGTCTCTGTCACAGCGAACTTTTCTAATGTCTTACTTTTTAGAGTTTTGATAGTAAATGTGAAATAAACATGTACTTAAAGCAACTTTTCAAATTATCATTGACCTCTTTACTGCAGTTACGGCATAATGTTTGTGTTGCTAATCGTACAAGAGAAGCTCTGTTTTATAATTATGAAAACTATATTGACCTGTATAAAACATTGAAATCGTTTAAGGACCGTGACACACAGAAGATCCAGTGGATAGATCGCTTTATAGAAGAACTTCGTACAAATGACAAATGGGTCATCCCCGCTCTGAAACAAATTAGAGAAATTTGTAGTTTGTTTGGGGAGGCACCTCAGAATTTGAGGTAAGGCTTTTAACAGAACATTTCAGCATTTTCATTGATGGCTTTTGAAAAGAAACAGCAGCATTATCAGCTGGTAGAAGCAAACAAGAAAATTAGACTGGGCCAATCGGCTGAGAGAAGAGTTTATTTGGAAGAAAAGATTCCTTTATCATAACCACCTCCTTGATTTTACTGATGAGGAAGTAAGCTGCAGTTAAGAGATACGTATCACAAGCAAGACAATAATACTGCCTTCAGGTTCTGGGTTCAGAATTCCCTCTTCCTTCCAGCAAGTGAGCCGGCCAGTTTCATGGCTTGTGCTGCGTCAGTTTCACCTCTCATTTCAGTTTTTCCTTCCTGCCCGTGTCCCTTTCTGCCCGGTGTCTGCCCCTTATAAATATATTACCTCACTTGCTAAATTGTGGTTTCTGGAATAATTTGTCCTTGTATTGTTTGGTTATAGAGTTGGAACTGATAACATGAAAAAGGAAAAGGTGGGAAAAGAGCTGGGTGTAATGCAGAGTGTATTCACAGTGGAATCAGGATTCCTGGGTTATGACCCTTGTAGCCAAACAGTCATATCATTTTGTCAAGATTCTCTAAACGAAAGAAATGTATTTTCTTATACGTATAAAATTAAATGATTGCCAAGATCTTATACAACTCTCGATTATTACGATTATGCCTAATACAGAAAAGGCCACGTGTTTTGGTTTTAACCCTTGAACTTTGTCTTCTGCTGTGTTTTTTTTTTTTTTAAGGCTAGAAAAATACTATGAAATTACAAAAACTATAGGAGTAAACAGTGGAGAAAATTTAAATTCTTTACTGTAATTATAGCATAATTTTTGTGGTGCTAATCTGGCAAGGAGTGTTTCTATTTTATAATTCTGCAAATAGTTATGCAAACGTAAGTGCTTTGGCACTAGTATAACATGGAAGTAGAAATCAGTTATTAAAGTAAACGCCCATTGGTGTGGTAGTGGAGAATATTAATGTATTTTGTGTGTGTGTAAAATAATAATGCTATGTTTTATTTTTTGAGGCATTGATTTTCTTTTAAATTGCTTGCCACTAAAGTTAAATGGCCAAAAGTACACTTCTATTATGAAAGAACCCATTTGAAGTTTTTCAATTAGTAGCTAAGAATTTAGAGTATATAAGCTCTTTTGATTCCAACAGAATTAATTGCCTAATTATATTGTTAAGTTCTTCTCGTTTCAGTCAAACTCAGCGAAGTCCCCATGTATTTTATCGCCATGACTTAATCAATCAACTTCAGCACAATCATGCCCTAGTTACTTTGGTAGCAGAAAATCTTGCAACTTACATGGAAAGCATGAGACTGTATGCTAGAGGTATGTACTACAAGCTAACGGGAATTATGGGAAATGACAGCAACTTCCCTTCCCAGCTGGGGGCGGGGTCAGCATTAATTACCTTCAAAATGACAACGGATATATTTTGTGTTCCTTTCTTAGCTTATGACCCACTTTCACTTTCCTCTTAACTCTTACACACTCTTAACCTCCCGGCCAGCCTTTCAAGGCTCTTTAGTCTGCCTGCCCCACTCTCCTTGTTAAGCTTTTTTCCTTCCCTGCCTGGAGGCTGTGAGCACCTGTCCTACAATTGTTTATTGCCTTCTTGGGTACATACTTGACTCATTTTCATCCTTTGTGTGTCCTTAATACCACCACCATTATCTTTCCAGGAAAACTTTTTTGTCTAAGTCTGTGTTCCATTAAGTGCCTCGATTTATGAATTAAAAATTCGCAAGTAGGGAGATGGAAGGCTACAAGAATCCACATGTTTTACATGGGTTTCAAAGTATGAAGTTGTTTAAACATGTCACTGTCGAGTTTCCTGTTTTTGTAACAGCCAGTTTGTAAGTGCCGCCATCGGTGGACTCCGTTTCAATGCCCTTTTGCCCTCTGACAGTTGTATTAGAGTCTGTGTGCTGGAGTTCAGAGGTATTCTTAGTACATATTCCTCTCTCTCATGCCAAATTCATAGCACACACACACCCCAAAAAACCCACACAAAAACTGTCCTATAGGCTCAAGTTTGTTCCCATAGCCATGGAAAGGAAACTGTATCTAACCAATGTTAGAGGTAGAATTGAACATAATGGTTACTGAACATACCATTTCTTGACATTTTATAGTAGACTTTGCAGAAGCCGATAATACATATTTTTAAAATATATTTTATTGATTTTTACAGAGAGGAAGGGAGAGGGATAGAGAGTTAGAAACATCCATGAGAGAGAAACATCAATCAGCTGCCTCCTGCACACCCCCTACTGAGGATGTGCCCGCAACCAAGGTACATGCCCTTGACCAGATTCAAACCTGGGGCTCTTCAGTCCGCAGGCCAACTCTATCCACTGAGCCAAACCGGTTAGGGCCGATAATATATTTTTAACCATTTGTACACTTAGTCTATAGACGCAAGCGGCGGGTCTTTTTTAATTAAATTCAAAATATTGTGGCAGTTAACTGGTTAAAATGAGGGTGTTTCTAATGCTCATTATTTGAAAAGTATATTGGGTAGACTCTTTGCATTGTGTAAAATCCCAATATGCCTATGAAACATGAGAGCTTTGCTTAACATCTATATACATTCCTATATAAAACTCAGATAAACATAAGTGAAATTGAGGGCTAACATCAGCTTCCACAGTTCGCTGATATTCTCAATTTCTGATAACTATCTCACCAATATTACTATCCTGCCCATATTTCACCACTAGCATCTTCATCTTTGGAAGAAAACATTTCTCAGTGGTATAGTCAGCTGATTCTGCCTCCTCTTTTAACATTATTTAGCTAAAGTAATAAACTTACTAAAATCCTTAACATTTACTCATGTGTTCTTACTACTAGTGCCTTCAGGCACTGGTGCTTACCAAGTTCTTTTAAAGTCTTTTTATGTGAATACAACACAGGATAAAACCACCTTTCTGTTTTCACTCAAATTTTAACTCATTGGTAGGATTGCCATAGACCTTAAAACTTTAAAACTCTTAGGAAAAAACATAGGAATAAATCTTTGTGGCCTTGGGTTAGGCAAAGCAACATTTTTAGGGAAGAAAACGTGATATATTGAACTACATCGAAATTTAAAACTTCTGCAAATGATACAATCAAAGTAAAATGATAACCCAAGAATGGTAGAAAATATCTACAGATTATGTATCTGGTAAGGGACTTGTATCCAGAATATATAAGAACTCTTACAGTTCAACAGTTAAAAAACAACCCAATTAAGAAACAGCAGAGGATCTGTGTAGACATTTCTCCAAAGATAAGCACATGGCCATTTGGTGCATAAAAAGATGCTGGATTTCGTTAGTTACTGGGGAAATGCAAATTACAACCACAGTGAGAAACTGTACACCTACGAGGATGACAAATGAAACAATAGCAGGTGTTGGCAAGAATGAGGAGAAGTTGGAGCTTTTGTACGTTGTTTGCGGGATTGTAAAGTGGTGCAGCCACCTTGGTATTACAGGTTGGCAATTCCTCCAAGTGGTAAACAGAATTGATCATACAGTTTACTCCCAGGTAATTTATATACCCAGGTGAAATGAAAACATAGTTCCATGCGAAATCTTGAACGTGAATGTTAGCCAGAAAAGTGGAAATAACCTAAGTGTCCATCATTTGATGAATGGATGAACAATATGTTTTAAATGCATACAGTGGAAGGCTATTTAGCAGTAGTAAAAGAATGTTACAACATGCCTGAACCCTGAAAAATGTTAGCCTAAATAGAAGAAAGCCAGTCACAGAGTCACAGAAGACCACATATTTTAAGATTCCATTTATATGAAATGTGAGTCTCTGAGATGATGGGGAATCTTGTAGACTGTGAGGGTAGGTGGTGATACTCAAATCTGGTAGCTTTGACTATACTAAAAACCATTGGGTTACACATTAAGTGGCTAGGTTTTATGGTATTTGAATTGTGTATCAATTACAGATGCTTCTTAAAAGTGACCTTTTCTCATGAGTTCTGAAATGGATTCTAGACAGTTTGGCAGTTTGTAATGACAAGAACCAATTTATGTTAGCCTTGGCCAGAGACACGAGTTAATTTAGTCTCATCTACTTTTTCCTGCTTTCAGTGGGATCTCTCATGGCTGGGCAGCATGATTCAAAAATGGGCCGTCTTGCCCGGGCCGTGTGGCTCAGTCTTCATTTGCCCGCTCACTAATCACAGGATTTGTTTGGAGCTGAATGTTTACAAGGAAACGCACCACCATCTTTGTTTTCACAGCCGGGAAGCTTTTTTATAACAAAGTATAGGGCCTCTCCATTCCCATTTAGCATAGAGGGATCTTTCTTCATGACTTTTCTTCATCATTTGGGTCCCAGGTCTTGGTAAAGTGCTGCCACCTGAATAAAAGGGCGGGGGGGAGGTGATGCTAAAACTAGTGGGCAAAGAAACAAGACAAATTACATAGTCGCAAAGTAGCCCCCACAGATGAGCAGTTACGAAGAGAGAAAGCTTTACGGTGGAGAAACCTGGTCAGTAATTCTTTTTATAGCACATTTAACAGATCCTTTTGGTTATGTATAAGGAAAATTTATTTTTGTGGGGAAAATAGGAGCTGACTCAAAATCACCAATAATTAGTAAACTTCATGATGCCTTTTAATGTCAAGTTAATGACTTTGTAAGTGATGTCATTTTCTTTGGTTAAAGTCCCAGTAATGTGGGTGTCCGAATATGTCATACATGATTTTCTTTTAATTTGCAGACCATGAGGACTACGACCCACAAACTGTAAGGCTGGGAAGTAGATACAGTCACGTTCAAGAAGTCCAAGAGCGGCTGAACTTCCTGAGGTTTGTGTCAATCAATCACTGCGGCTCTATGTAAGACACAGATGAGAAAGCCAGCTTCATACGAGGTGTCGCTGGGGTCTTTTTTAGGTGGCCTTTTCCCATGCGGACATCTCCCCATGTGTTTGTTCATTAAACATTCAGAATTGTTGTCTGAGTTATAACTCTTCTTCTTTGCAGTGCTTGAAGAGAACACATTTTAAACTTTTATACAGAATTCTGTTCTTAAGTTGCCATCTTTTGAGACAGCCCGTTAGAGAACGAAACTGACCGTAATGGCGTCAGAGACACTCAGGAAGTGGGGGCAAAGGGCTGCTGGACCAGCAGCCGAAAGAATGCTGGGGTCCTCCGGTGCCTTGTGCACCCCAGCAGCGCTGGCAGAGGCCGTCCCGAGTCACGTGCTAATGTTACTCGGATGGGGTTCCTTAAGCCAAAGCTAAACGTAGTAGCAGGCTGAGTTTGCTCAGTGGTGTTTGGTTTTCAATGACTTGATGTATAGATTGCCTATATGTATAGATATCTATAGATTGCATCTTGGGGTAAACACGCTGTAGCTCTGATGGCTCGTTTTTTCCGTTTTTCCAAGATTCTTGCTGAAGGACGGCCAGCTGTGGCTGTGCGCCCCGCAGGCGAAGCAGATCTGGAAGTGCCTGGCCGAGAACGCCGTGTACCTGTGCGACCGCGAGGCCTGCTTCAAGTGGTACTCCAAGCTGATGGGGGATGAGCCGGACTTGGACCCTGACATCAACAAGGACTTCTTCGAAAGCAACGTGCTCCAGCTCGACCCTTCCCTCCTAACGGAAAACGGCATGAAATGTTTTGAGCGATTCTTCAAAGCTGTGAATTGTCGAGAAGGAAAACTGGTAGCAAAGAGGAGAGCGTACATGATGGATGACCTGGAGTTGATAGGGTTAGACTACCTTTGGAGGGTAAGTGAAACATGTATGTGATGGAGCTTTTCCAATAGGGAAGGAGCCCCAATTCTGCATGTAGATGACATGTCTGCGTCTTCCCTGGCGCTTGTCCCAGGAGGTAGTGATAGCTCATCTTAATCATAAAGGGGAAAAAAAGATTTACTCTCTTAGCAACTTTCAAATATGCACTCAGTATTACTAACTTGTCAGCATGCCGTACATTACATCCCGAGACTTGGCTATTTTATAGCTGGGAGTTTGTACCTTTTGACCACCTTCACCCATTTTACCCACCTGGCACCTCTGGCAGCCACCAATCTGATCTCTGTATCTATGAGTTCGGGTTCTTAATTTGTTGTTTTAGATTCCCCGTGCAAGTGAGATCACGTGTTATCTGTCTTTGTCCAGCTGGCTGACTTCACTGAGCGTGATACCCCCCAGGTTCCTGCATGTTGTCACAGCGTGCTGTTCATTTATCATTCCTGCCTTTAAAAACCTGACCTGGTCACAGCAGTGTGTATATATAATTTTTACATGGAATCTTTTTCTGCAAACTAGCTAGCCTAAGCTCTTTATTGTGGTATTTGATTATTTAGATTTTTGGATTAAGTAAGGGGTTTGCAACATTTTTAAATAGTTGTTAAATTTTTCAGTTATGGTTGACATGTTTTCAGCACTTTTTTAAACAGCAGAAACCCTTTTTTTAAATAAAAATGTACACACTACTCCACAACGTAAAACTGGTTGAAGCACAGAAGGAAAGCCTGTGTACTTTTTCGCCTCAGTCTCCTTGTGCTCCTCCGCTTCCCTTCCCCAAGCCTGTTACAGGGCTCAGCCCTAAGTCACCTCCTCAGAGCCCCAGACTTCTGCATCTAATTTCAATGCCACTGGCATAATGAGGTGAATGATAAAGATCTGAAGAAGTTACTTGGGGCAGGTGAAATAGGTAAAGGGGATTAAGAGGTACAACCTTCCAGGTAGAAGTCCTGGGGATTTCACGTACAGCACAGGGAATACAGTCAGTGTTGTAATAACTTTGTTTGGGGACAAATGGTAACTAGACTTAACCGTGGCGGTCATTTCGTAATCTATACAAATAGTCACTAATGTACACCTGAAACTAATATATATTGTATGTCAATAAAAACAATGGTCTTGATTAAAACGTATGATGTCCTTAGGAAAATGAGTCTTCCCTTCAACAAATTTCTTTATTCAAAGACTTGCCTTTATCTTCTTTATTTTGGTCTGTTTTCTCACTTAATTGTACTTGGTTTTCTTGATTATCGAAGTCAGTGTATCCTAAAATTATTGAATACTATATGAAAAATAGCTGAGGGGATGGTTTGAATTGAAATGGCCAACTAAGATATCTTTTTGATCCTAGGTTGTGATTCAGAGCAATGACGATATTGCCAGCAGAGCTATAGATCTCCTTAAAGAGATATACACAAACCTGGGGCCAAGGCTACAGGTCAATCAGGTGAGGACTGACGTGCATTCAAACATACACAAATTGAAACTCTGGTTGAAGAACTCTTTTTCCTTTAAAGAACTTTAATTTAGGATTAACTAGGAATTCTTTTGTTTCAGCTCTTATAAATATACCTAAAATATTTGGTCCCTATTTCTCTCGTATAAAATGCTGTCTAAATGAATCTTGTCCTAATAATTATCTTGAAGTGATCATTTTGAGTATCATTATGGCAAGAGATTGTGACTGAATTTCTTTTGATTCTAACACCTAATCCTGAAGTTTTCTTTTTGAGTATCTAATTTATGCTTATATGACTCTTGCTTCCTTTGACAATGCATAGCATATTTTATTATCAGTAGAGACTCCTTGGCTAAAGATGATCATGGTTAATTGACGGCTACCCTTAAATGAGTTGTTGCCATCTTTGATTGGAATAAAATTTTATGTGTGCCTTTAATTTTTACATTTCAAAGCAACTTGAACTGTCATATTTGACCCGTTATTTGTAGGTGGTGATCCATGAAGACTTCATTCAGTCTTGCTTTGATCGTTTGAAAGCCTCCTATGACACGCTGTGTGTGTTGGATGGTGACAAGGACAGTATTAATTGTGCAAGACAGGAAGCTGTTCGGATGGTTCGAGTGCTAACCGTGCTGAGGGAGTACATAAATGAGTGTGACAGCGATTACCACGAGGAAAGAACAATTCTGCCCATGTCAAGGTTAGTGACAAAGTGATCCACCAGTGCTGTTGCTTAATGCCTTGGTATTTCCTAGCCAGTGTGGCTCAGCTGTTGAGTGTCGTCCGGTGCACCAAAAGGTTGCTGTTCGACTCCCGGTCAGGGCGCTTCTCAGGGTTGGGTCAGTCCCCTGATGGGGTCCACGCAGGAGGCAACGGATCAATGTTTCTTCTCGCATTGATGTCTCTCTTTCTCTCAAATCAATGTACCAGAAGAAAGCGTTGGGATCTTGACCATGAAGAACATTATTTGCATCTTTTAAAACCTTTGGTTAATCCTAGACCTCTTTTTGTTTTTCGGGATCTGTTTTCTGTTTTAGTTTTTTGTTCGCGTTCTCACTCGTCAAGTTTGCTCTCTTGTTTGTTTATTTTTGCCAATGACTTACTTTCTGGTAAGTGTTGCAGGACTATTTCACAGTTAAAGTGTTTTGATGCCATTCATTTACTCCGTTAAAAATAATGGCATAGTAAGATGAGAGAGTAATTGGAAAGGACTTTTAAAAGGTGCTTTGACAGAGAGCCAGAATAGCAAGAACATTTCCAAGCAGTCTACCACCAGTTCTTTTATGGTCTCACCATTTAGTAAATCAAATAGTATTTATTATTTAGAGATGTTTATAGAATGAGTGTCATCAGTGTTTATTTTAAAAGATTTCTCTATGAAATCGTTCTCTTTGTTAATCATGAAATTATTTACAACGGCTCCTTATTTATTTTTACTTTTTGTATCTTATCTGCAATAATATTTATACTAATATAAACATCATTTTGATGGGGTGAATTCTGATATTAAGAGTTCTTCAGAAAAAATGAACACCTTAGCATTTTTGTTGGTGCTCTCAAGATAAAGTTACCTTCCACATTTGCAAAGTCCCAGTGAGTTGGGCTTTATAGCATTAAAATAAGTTACATGTTTACTCATGTCTCTGTGTTAATTTCTTATAAACTAGATGCTTCATTTTCTGCAACCATAGGTACAAGAGTAGCAACAATGGAATGTTGTGTTTTTAAGATCACTTACAGTATTTGTAGTTCAAAGGAGCAGTAAGTTTTTATGTTCAAGACCCTAAAAATAACTAGCCTTAACTCACTTTCTCTGGTTTAATAAAAAAAAATAGTCAATATTAGATTTGTAGCTTTATCTTCTTTGCAAGAAGATTTGCAAGTTGCTGAATGTGACGATGTTTTCTCTCTTGTTCCCCCAGAGCTTTCCGTGGTAAACACCTCTCTTTTATAGTCCGGTTTCCGAACCAGGGCAGGCAGGTTGATGACCTGGACGTGTGGTCCCACACAAATGACACGATCGGTTCCGTGCGGCGGTGCATTCTCAATCGCATTAAAGCCAACGTTGCCCATACAAAAATCGAGCTCTTCGTGGGCGGGGAACTGATAGATCCTGCAGATGATAGAAAGTTGATTGGACAATTGAACTTAAAGGATAAATCGGTAAGTATCTATGAATACCAAACTTTTCAAGAAAATCAAAGCCGAGGCTATCTTTATTTCCGCAGTCAACATTTCATTCAGTAAATGTGAATTGAACATCTGTTATGTGTGAGGCTCTGTATTAGGTGTTGGAATTATAACATTAAATAAAACAGGCATCGATATTACAATGTAGGTAGAGGAAAGGCTTTCTAAAAACTAATTGTATGGTTATATTAGACAACACTTAGAAAAAACATAGCGTGTAGGTTTTTGTTGGTGTGTTACTGACTTAAGTCTTGTGTGTTTTTCTTGTCTTTGATACTAAATACTATGTCATTTGCAGCTAATTACAGCCAAGCTTACACAAATAAGTTCCAATATGCCTTCGAGCCCTGATAGCTCTTCTGATTCCTCAACTGGATCTCCTGGAAACCATGGTAACCATTACAGCGATGGGCCCAACCCAGAAGTGGAAAGCTGTTTGCCCGGGGTGGTGAGTAGCTTTGAGTTACTGTATGCCAGGCACTGTGCTAGCCTCTTGGAGAATAAAGACCTATATTGAATAGGGTGGTTTTTTTCCTGGAGGAGCTTGTAATTTACTGTGCCTAAATATCAAACAGCTTTATAGTTAACAGTGAACTTTAGAGTGGATCCCTCTGATATATGAGAGAAATCGTTTAACAAAATAGTAAAAAAGAACTCACATAGCAATTATTGGAGGCGGCTTGGACAGTGTATTTCTTGAAGGATTTGTAAAGGTGGGAAGAAGGGAAGTCAGACTATTTTAAAGACTAGAAATGGCATAAGCAGAAGTGCAGCAGTTAACAAACAAATGTATTGGGCCTTCCTGGGGAGGTGTAATTTACAGGTGAACGTTTTGTGTGTTTTGTATTCTAGATAATGTCACTGCATCCCAGATACATCTCTTTCCTTTGGCAAGTTGCAGACTTAGGTAGCAGCCTAAATATGCCATCTCTTAGAGATGGTGCAAGAGTGCTTATGAAACTTATGCCACCAGGTAAGATTAACAAAAAACAAAACTAAAAATACTGCTGATAAAGTACATGCTGGCCAATAACAGGATGTATTAGCAACTTCTGTTCGTAGATGGAACACGCCTTACGGCATAGGCCAGAGCAGGAGTTGGCGATCTTCAGTCAACTGCCTGATTTCGCAAAGCCTGGGAGTGATGGGTGGTCCCCCCCCCCCCAAAAAAAAAAAAAAAACACAACAAAACAAAACAAAAAAAACCTCTTTCAGATAGAATTCATGGACAGGGCCAGTGCTCTGCTCGCTTTCGGGCAACACCCTGTCATTGTACAGGTTCTCCAGAAGCCTAGAGCTTCTTTTACATCGCCATCCACAGGGATTGTATGGTCTCGCATTAGCCCATTTATTGAATCCCGCCTCCTTGTAATGCCATTTTCCAATACCCTCCAGCCACCAGCTTGATGCTTGCCCCAGGACTCCAGAATCCCTGGTCTTATTTTTAAGAGCGTAATGCCACCAGGTGGCGACAGTGAGCTCTGGCCAGGCAGCTCCAAGCAGGGAAACTTGAGGGCACTTCTTTTATTTTTCTTTCCATATTTTATATAATCAAAGTATAGGCCTAGATTTGAAATAGCCAGCTTCGAAAAGGCCAGTAATGACTGTACTATAGTATTTAGATCAGAGACTTTGGACTCAACCAGACTAGTTCAAATCCTGGTATGCAAAACGGAGCTAACAATAATAACTATTTGATATATGGTCTGGTGACTGGGACATAATCCGTATTCAACAAACGTTAGCTTCTTTTCTGTCGCTTGGTTGCTACACACATACACTCAACACTCAAAGGAAGCAGGGGTCCTGGCTGGTGTGGCCCAGTGGTTGAACATCAACCTATGCACCAGGAAGTCATTGTTGGATTTCCAGTCAGGGCACATGCCTGGGTTGTGGGCTCAATTGGAGAGAAGAGCTTGCCATTTTTTCCTTTTCGTTATTTTCATTAAGAACTTCCTTTTGAAGTGTCTTGTGTGTTTTTTTCAGTCTCCAGTGGCTGGAGGGGGGGCTGGAGGACATGTTGATTTGAAGTCTGAGTAGGAGGAGCCTGCTTCCTTACTGGGGTTTGGTTGGCTGATGAAAGAGCCCTGGTTTGTTTATTTACTTCATTAGCCATTCTTTAATCCAGATCTGGTTATGTCTTGTGAAGTTGGAGCCTATAACTGAACTGATTGTTACATCATACTAAAGTCTTCAAAATATCAAAAGTGAACTGCTTATGCGTGCATGACGGATGTTTTGTCTTAGCCTGTGTCTCTCTCCTTTTCGCAGATAGCACAACAATAGAAAAACTGAGAGCGATTTGCTTAGACCACGCGAAGCTTGGAGACAGCAGCCTTAGCCCATCTCTTGACTCGCTTTTCTTTGGTCCTTCCGCTTCCCAAGTGCTATACCTGACAGAGGTTCGCTTTTTCCTTTTGAATTTTCCCCGCGTTCTTCACATTTGACCTTTCTATGCTAACTCAAAAAAGTTTCTTAGCCGTGGCAATAGGGGAAATCGGCATTATCTTTCCAAGACCTTGAACACAGGCCTCTTCCCTTTCTTTCCCAGGTGGTCTATGCCTTGCTCATGCCTGCTGGTGCACCTCTGGCTGAAGACTCCTCTGATTTCCAGTTTCACTTCTTGAAAAGCGGTGGCCTGCCCCTAGTCCTGAGTATGCTGACCAGAAACAACTTCCTGCCCAATGCAGACATGGAAACTCGCAGGGGTGCCTACCTCAATGCTCTGAAAATAGCCAAGCTGTTGCTGACTGCCATTGGCTACGGCCACGTTCGCGCTGTGGCGGAAGCGTTTCAGCCGGGTGTAGAAGGCGTGAATCCTTTGACATCGGTAATACGGGCTTTTTAAAAATCTATACTAATAAAAGGGTGATATGCTAATTAGACCGGGTGACCAGACATCTTCAGACGTCCAACTTCCTTCCGGACAGTTAGGGGCCAACCAGGCCGGCAGGCAGGCGAGCAGTTAGGAGTCAGCAGTCCCACCCACCGTGCATGAATTGCGTGCACCGGGCCTCTAGTCTTGGTCATTTTTAAAGTTTAACTTCTCAGCAACACTTAAGTATAAAGTTCAAAGGTAAACTATCTCAGGTTCCTTTCCAGTGATGCATTATTTTAGGGGCTTTTTCTGTTAAATTTCATTTGTATTGAAAGTGCAAATGCTTTTCACTCACTGTACTTGGAGAGGCTAGTTCTTCAGTGCCCCCTTAAATCCTGTTTGGCTTTCAGTTCTTTTAAACTTAATAAAGTCTCCATATGAGTTTCTTATGGACTTGTATTTGCCCTGCATTAAAGACACCGGTGGGAATAAAAAAGTTGTAATTGATTTAGCCTGTTGCCACCAAAAGTTCTCACGACTTGCCAGAATTTAATGCCTGTTTATTAGAGGTGTAACGATGCATTTAATACTGACTAAAATTGGAGTTATATGCATCATACGTGATGATTTGCTAAGTTACTGATAGTAGATAAAGACATCAGGAATATATTCTTTTTTTTAAGTGGCTTAGGTTTTAATCAGGGAGGTTGGAATGTTGATTAGATATGTGATATTATAATGTCACATATAATTGAGATAATAGCACTTATAATTGTTTTGGGTGTGATAATGGTACCGTGGTTATGTTTAAAAGGACTATTTCCCACCGCCACCACCCTTTTTTTTTTTAAGTAGTTGCTGAAATAGAAATGAAATTATATATTCAGGATTTGTTTTCAAAATATATCCTGGGCTGGGGAGGGGATAGAAAGCAAGGAGGGGGCATAGTTAAATAATTTTGGTCCTTTGTTAATAATTTTTGGTGCTTGCCAATAGGCACATGGGCGTTCTTAATACTATTCTCTCCACTTTTGTATATTTTAGAAATTTTTCATTAGTCTCACATGGCCTAAGTCTTACATTTTTTGATCCCATGTTTGTGAGGATAGAAAGCGTGGTTCTGGATTAGCTAAAACGTTCTCATCACAGTCCCTGGTGCGGGTGCTTAATGGCATGCACAGGAGGCAGTTCCATGCTTCCCCTCACTTGTCCCCTTTACAGCATTTATTCCGAAAATGGGCCATGTGCGTACGAAGGTACACAATGGTTCTACTTAAACTGTGGAGAAGGGACAGTACAGCTTGAACAGCAGTCAGAATTGCCTGAAAACTCCTTCAAAGTCATCTTTTTCTTGTGGGTTTAAAAACGTGGTTATTAAGTAAAACACTGATACCTTTCATATTTTTGCACTTCTATTCTGTTACTGATTTTTCTTAATTTTTCTCCTTTTCAAAGAAGAATTTGGTCATCAGGGCCCAGGAGCAGGTCTGCCCAGGAGCGTGCGTGGGAAAGATGTGGAGCAGTTTACAGGGTCTCTAGCTAGGGCTGCCGCCTGTCGGTTCAGTTCACTGCCTCACCTTCACCCTTACAGTGATGCTGAGCCCAGAGGGGGGGCAGGAGCTGGATGGGTTTGGAGGGGGGCAGTCGGAGGGGGGGTGGCACTCTCATGCATAAGAAAGAAGCAGCCCCCCCCCCCCCCCCCCGGTTGGCGCCGTGGGGTGGTGTCCGTGGAAGGGGGTCATCCCGAGGGAGTGTGATGGGCAAGGAACAAGCGAGTCTGGTTAACGGTTGCCTTTTGCAGGTCAACCAAGTCACGCACGACCAGGCCGTGGTGCTGCAGAGCGCGCTGCAGAGCATCCCGAACCCGTCGTCCGAGTGCATGCTCAGGAACGTGGCCATCCGCCTGGCCCAGCAGGTCTCCGACGAGGTGGGTGCTCGGCCGCTCAAGCTCTGGCCTCCCGGGGCATTTTTGGGGGGGTTCTACCTTCGCCCCTCTGTTCATTCAGAATGAACCCTTGTCACCAGTTAGGGCTTGCATTTCCTGGGCCTGCTCACTGCTCGCTTTAGTCACTGTCCTAGACTAGATGAAGCTCCCTTAACATCAGCTTTGTCTACTAGTAATGTCGGTGCTTTATGTACAGTAAATAGCGTGCTTTTACAGTTTCTGATTCAGTGAATTGTATTTTTAAATATGCTTTTATTGATTTTATAGAGAGAGGAGAAGGGGGAGAGAGAAACATCCATGGTGAGAGGGAATCATGGATCAGCTGCCTCCTGCACGCCCCACACTGGGGATGGAGCCCGCAACCCGGGCCTGTGCCCTGACCTGAATCAAACCGTGACCTCCTGGTTCATAGGTCGACACTCAACCACTGAGCCACGCCGGCCGGGCTGTAATTCAGTGAATTTTGACAAACGCCTCTGTGTGTGAAACCACAGGCACGTGATCCCATCACTCTCTCTGGGTGCCCCTGTGCGGTCCATTCTCCCTCCACCCCTGCCCCACGTGACCGCTGAGCTTCTGTCACCATATACTAGTTTTCTGTTTCTAGAATTTCATACAGGTGGGAGCAAACTGGGGGTTCCTTTATGTCTGGCTTCTTTCATGCTGAATAATGGCTGGAAGCTGTCTGCGCTGTGGGAGCCATTAGTCCATCCCTTTTTATTGTGGAGTGGCGTCCCCTGGTGAATATTTCACATGGCGTTTGTCCATCTACTTGGCGAAGGCCATCTGGATTGTTCCCCCTTTTTGGTCCTGCGTGAAGCTGCTGTGAACATTCTGGACAAGTGTCCGTGTGGCCACGAGGCGAGGGATGGTGGAAGCACCCCTGTAGTCTTTTTGCGGTTCTTCTGGGAGTTGTGTGAGGCCAGGCAGTAACTTGGAGGTGTACTGCGTGGTGCCGCAAGGCCATGTGGGAGCCTAAACACAATGGGTTCCTCCTCCTTCCCGAGAAGAAACATGTCTGCTTTTTCAGTGCTTATTCCGCTCACATGCTTCCTACTGTTGTCATTCCTCCCTGTCTCGCAGGCTTCAAGATACATGCCTGACATCTGCGTGATTAGAGCAATTCAGAAAATCATCTGGGCCTCCGGGTGCGGGGCTCTACAGCTGGTATTTAGCCCGAATGAAGAAATCACTAAAATTTATGAGAAGGTAAGAGCTATCACAGAAATCGAACTCTTTTAAATAAATGTTAATACTGAATTTGATGGCTTCCATCCTCACTATTCTTCCCTCACCACCTTCCTGTCCTGTGGAGATTTGGGTTTAGCCGGCCATCAGTTGTGTTATAGCATTTAAGTATTTTCCATTCTCTGAGAGTGGTCAGAAGTAGCAAGAGTGTCAGCCAGTCAGGCATCACCTCCAACCTCCCTTAGGTTAAGCAAATTCTTTACATAAGAAAGGTGGTGTTTGACTCTGATTTTTCTGTCATATGTCCCTGTCCCTGATAGCCACTTCTTCATATTTATTTTTTATAATTATGTATTTGTTAGAGAGGAGTGAAGGGAGAGAGAAACATTGATAGGTTGCCTCCCGTACACGCCCCAACCCAGGATCGCACCTGCCACCTTTCGGTGTGTGGGTTGACGCCCCAACCCACTGAGCACCACCGGCCAGAGCCGAGTGTTTAGAAGGGACATTAAGCTGTAGGATTGCCGTCACTGTAGATCTTCCCTTTTGTGGCCAACGTAACCCTGATTTGCCCGGGGTGCATGTTGGTGTCCTGTAGTACATATATGGTACCATATGGTACATGGCTGATTCATTCAGCTAATGTTTGAGTGCTTTTTCTTTTCCAGGCATGTGTTGCAGTTGTGAATTTCTTATACAGTCAGATTAGAATTTATTAACTACCTACCCAGACGTATTGTAGGTTGGAAAACCTTCCTTAACATTTATTTATCTAAGAGTTGCTTTAGAGTAAAATGGAACTGCAGGTGCGTACGGGGTGGGACTGGTCAGGGGTCCCTAACTGCGGGGCAGAGTGGTTCTCTAGGAAGGAATGGCTGTTGGTGCCCAAGAACACGACTCAGAAGGTCTCTAGGAGTCCAGCGGGCAGAAGCAGGTGGTGTGGCCCGCGCTCCCGCGGCTCCCTGGGAAGGGGAAACACTGGAATTAGACTCTGTTGTCTGCTGTAGTCATTTCCCTACTATTCCAAGAGCTGCAGATGGCGGCTGAGGCCAGATGGTGTGAGCGAGTAGGGACGGGCTGCACGCTGGCTTGAAGCTGTGTATGAACTTTCCTTAAATGCATTTCTAGATGACTTACCCTCTCATTTTACAGTCCAACGTGGGCAACGAGCTGGACTTGGAAGACGAGCAGGTTTGCTGCGAAGCGTTGGAAGTGATGACGTTGTGTTTTGCCTTGATTCCAACGGCCTTAGATGCTCTTAGCAAAGAAAAGGCTTGGCAGACGTTCATTATTGACTTACTGTTGCACTGTCACAGCAAGTAAGTTCCTTTTCGCTGTAAGAAACTTGATGTGAGTTTGTGTGCAGAGGTCATTTATGCTGACAAAATGGATCCCAGAAACCAAAACTGTATTGTCTCTGTAGCATATAAATATTTAGGAAAATGTTATTGAAGCGTGTTTTGCTTAGACCCATATTTGTTTGGTTCTAGTCTTTGCAAAACGCCAACATTCACAAAGTGAAATTAATTTTTCTCTGATTTCAGAATTTCGTTTTACCTAACAGGTATATATTTTAGCCCGTTTTAAAAATCTAGTTTACAAGATTTTAAATTGAGTAGAGCATTAGCCTCCCATCTTGAATACTTAGCTACAAGGTGTTTGTTTTTTATTTAAGTTGTTAATTCAGTATGACATTCAGAAGGCAGAGTTATGGTAAGAACTTCTGTATTTTACACTGAGAATAAAAACCAACTATTGGCCCTCGTTTCCATTTGAAAAGTATTTCATCAGACATTGTTTTTTTTATATTTATTATTGAGCGCATTACAGATGTTCCCCACCGCCCCACTCCCATTGTCCCCCTCCACCCAGATCCCATCCTACCCCAGGCCTTCACCACCTTATTTCTCCCCAGAAAATTGGTCCTCCTGACTTCAATGAGCACGGGTTCCACCGGAATCAACCTACAGTGTCTAAAATCCCTCTGCCTTATAGGACCCTGTGGGGTTTCAGAAACCTCAGAACCCCCAGGAGGGGTGCGTGCACGCAGCGTGTGCTGTCAGGTTCTTTACAGTGAGCTATGCATTCAGTTCTAAGCTCACCTCACACCACAGCTGCATGAGGCTCACTGTGGCCTATTTCCTGTCTAGAGGAGTATTTCTTGTCTTTTCCAAGGGACAGGTGTTAAAAGGCACCTTCAAACTCTGCAATGGCAATTTGAGGGCACAGTTCTTGACACGCAGCCTAAATTCCTGTATGTATGTTGCTGGCTTAAGGGGGTATTACCTTGTATGCTTGTATTTTTACTCTTTCTCTACCTCTTATTCCCCACCCACCGCAGGGAGACCAGGATTATAATGTTTTTTCCTTCATGAAAATGAAACACTAAACGTGAAACCTTTTTCTTGCAGAACTGTCCGCCAGGTGGCGCAGGAGCAGTTCTTCCTGATGTGCACCAGGTGTTGCATGGGCCACAGGCCTCTGCTTTTCTTCATCACGCTGCTCTTCACTGTTTTGGGGGTGAGACAATTTTTATGCTTGTCGGTGTGGAATGTTCTTTAAACAAGGGGCACTCAGGAAGTCATGCTGTTCGATTGCATTGAAGTTAGAGAGGTCTGTTCATGTCATTAAGATGAGTAATTTCCCATATGATATCTCGTTAAGTGAGTTTTTAAGAAGTGGATTCTGAGCAGGGGCGCGTGAATTCATATTATTCTGCTTTATTGTTTCAGAGCACAGCCAGGGAGAGAGCTAAACACTCGGGTGACTACTTCACTCTACTGAGGCACCTTCTGAATTATGCTTACAACAGTAACATTAATATACCCAACGCCGAAGTTCTTCTCAACAATGAAATCGATTGGCTGAAGAGAATTAGGGTAAGTTGCATTTACCATATCAATAAGTTGAGTAGTTGATTAATAGTTTATAGTTTTGAGCATTTGGGTTAAATGAAAAATACCAAAGAGTAATAAAAAGGACTGACGAATGTACTCTGCGTTGGTGGACATTAGTAACTCGGTAATCACAGGATGGATACGTAGCTAGTTCTGTGAAATGTTTCGTTTCACTTGAGACTTGGTAAGCAGATACTCACCTTTCATTTTAGAATCGTGGATCTTTTTACAAATCTTCAACTTTTAAAAAGCATTCTTGATAAATCTGATAGGATAAGTGCTTAATTTAATTCTTCCTCTTAAGACCTGATACTTTTTACTTAGAATTGTATGGGAATTTCTTTCTGAAGAGATTTGTAGCTTTTAGCCTTTGGTAGCGTCTAAAGCTACTTCTAGAAAGTTCTGAAGAGAAATGGCTTAGAATGGACAGGTGTGACGGGGTTTCCGCATGTCTGTGTATCCCTCTCTTGTTCTGGCTTCTCCTTCCCTCGCTACCTCCCTCTCATAAGTTGGATGTTTGATTTTTTTCATTGATTGTTTTGGCAGGATGAAGTTAAGAGAACAGGTGACACAGGTGTTGAGGAGACGATCTTGGAAGGCCACCTGGGGGTAACAAAAGAGCTGCTGGCCTTTCAAACCCCGGAGAAAAAGTACCATATCGGTTGTGAAAAGGGAGGTGCTAGCCTCATTAAAGTAAGTCTGTTGTATTGGTCCTATTGTAGCCTTCTAAATTTTGTATATAAGTAAAATTTCAGTGCTACTATGTATTTTATAAAGTTAAATAAGCACTATTTGATTTTTCTATTTGGAAAATCAGAATTTTTCACTTTGTCAGACTAAAATGAGACAAACTTGTGTATGGTTGTTCATTGTAGTGCATAGTGTTATAAAGTGGGGTCTTTTTATTAGAAAATCCAAATAAGTTCTCTTGAGATGTAATGAGGTCTTGAGTTCTGACAAGTAATTCCATCTACAATATAAATATATAATGACACGTAGATACTATGTCATTGTAATACACAATCTTCCTTTCGACCCTCCTAGGAATTAATTGATGACTTCATCTTCCCTGCATCCAATGTGTACCTGCAGTACATGAGGAACGGAGAGCTGCCCGCCGAGCAGGCCATCCCCGTCTGCAGCTCACCAGCTACCATCAATGCTGGTTTTGAGTTACTTGTAGCATTAGCTGTTGGCTGTGTGAGGAATCTCAAGCAGATAGTAGAGTCTTTGACTGAAATGTATTACATTGGCACAGCAATAACTAGTAAGTATTCCATAATGTTGTGATAACAAGAGAACGCAAATTCTGTTTTCCTGGTTTTTTAGTAACCATCTTCAACTCAGCCTTTTCTTTCAGCAGCTGGTTTAGTTTAACCTTTCTAGCAAATGGATGTATAATTTAAGACCATGATAAGTGAGGAGGGAGCCTTAATGTAAGTTTTCAAATGTTTGTTAACTGCCTTCCTCTGTGTAGTGTAACTACTGAGCAAAATAAACTTCATCTCGATCAAATCTGGAATAAAACCCAAACTGCAGAGAGATATGTAGCCAAAATAAAAGCCAGAGTTCAAACTTAAAATGCAAATTTCATGCAGTGGAAACCTTCCAAGCCCTCACTTAGCAGCTCTTTAATGTTATTTCCATATGAGCGCTAAGGAAATCTGGTTTGAAAGATTAGGAATGGAGAAGATAACATTTTCGTGCGCTTCATGTCCTCAGTTAATGCTCCTATGAAGCCCGTGAAATAGACTCCAGACTCCAGATCTTACAGATACGGTGCTGAAGCTCAAAACGAATGAGGGCAACAGAAAGTGACCTAAAAAGCAGGAATAAAAAAATCAAACACAACAGAGGCCTTTTTTTTTCCTTAAGAGAAAACCACTATTTACAAAGTTCAAGGATATAATTGATTACAGTAAATTTTTAAGAACATCATTATTTTTTATATGTTATACTTCAGAATAGAAGGTCGTTTTAAATAACATTTTAGGAAATTCTGATGAAACTGACTGCTTTAAAGGTTAGACCTGTAGCTACTCTACCCAAAACAGGTGTCCTTCTGTAATATATTGATGTGTTTATATAGCCTTTAATGCCAGCACGAATTTTGAAGGCATTTTAAAAAACATACAAAAGTGGAAAGTTCATAATGACTAAACTATAAAGCTAAAAGTACAGGTAGCATGTAGGAATTAGCATTGTACAATCTTGAGGCTGCCATTAGAAGAAGCAACGCCCGCTAAAATGTGGGTTCGCAGGTGAGGGGTAAGAATCCGGATAGTGCCAGCATGTTGCTGTGTGTCCTAGGTTTGTGGAGGGTAAGATGCAGGCTCGGAGCGCCACTTCGGGCGGCTGTGGGAGTGGAATTGTTGCTGATGTTCGTTTATCAGCTTAATGGAGCTGAAAGTGGATAAAATGGTTGTGTCCATACTCTAAGAATCTCTCCTCTCCTTTCAGCGTGTGAAGCACTTACTGAGTGGGAATATCTGCCCCCTGTGGGACCCCGCCCTCCCAAAGGCTTCGTGGGGCTGAAAAATGCCGGTGCTACCTGCTACATGAATTCTGTGATCCAGCAGCTCTACATGATCCCCTCCATCCGGAACGGTATTCTTGCCATTGAAGGCACAGGTAGTGATGTAGATGATGATATGTCTGGGGATGAGAAGCAGGACAATGAGGTAAATGTTTTATTATATTAGCGTTTTTTGTTTTCTGTTTCAAGTTCTGATACCAAAAACTGTTCTCCCTCAGGGAGTGTTGTACTTTCATTGGGCCTGTTGACATATGTTGGGAAAAAAAGCTAGAATCTTCTGGCATGGACTATTTATTAGACTTGAAACTAGTTAGTTTTTTTAAAATAAATTTTTAGAGAGCGAGGAAGGGAGGGTGGTAGAGAGATAGAAACATTGATGAGAGGCGAACATCAATTGCTTGCCTCCAGCTCGCCCCCTATAAGCATCTTTGCCTTTTAGCAAAGCTTTTTGGGGGGTGCTTAACCCATCCCTGGTGAAGAGCCACTGCTCTGAGGGCAAGTTGAAATTCAGATTCTAGTTCTGTAGCCTCTCACATCTCTGAGATGCTCAGTTAAGCACAATGAGAGAGAGATCTAATTGTACCAGCAATAAGTAAACAAGGCGGACAAAATACACAATTTCAAATAAGATGTCCCACCTTGTTCTCTGCCAAGAAGGTGTGCCCTCTGCTGTGTGTTGTCTTGGCACTCTGCTACGCTGCACGAGTTTGGGGGTTTGTTTCATGTTTTTATCTACGTGCTGATTTCCCTAGACTAAGGTCTCATGGGCAGGGACTAGAGATTGTCTATTCTATATGACGGTCTCAGACACAATTCTGCAGCCCCTAGTCTCTCTCCATCTCTATGAATTTGTTCCAGTTCCCTCACATAATTGGAATCATACCATACCTGTCTTTTTGTGACCGGCTTATTTTACATAACACATTGTCCTCAAGGTTTGCCCATGTCAAAGCATGTGTCAGTTTCCTTCCCTTTTAAGGCGGAATGGTGTCCCATGTATGGATATGCCGCATTCTATCTCAGTGGACACTTGGGTTGCTTCACCTTTTGGCTGTTGTGAATAACGCTGCCATGAACATGATCGTACATATATCTCTTTGAGACTTTTCTTTCCGTTCTTTTGGGTGTGTACCCAGAAGTAGAATTGCTGGATCATGTGGTGATTATATTTTAATTTTTAATCCTCATCCGAGGATGTGTGTGTGTGTGTGTGTGTGTGTGTGTGTGTGTATCGGTTGCCTCCCGTAAGCGCCCCAACCAGGGATTGAACCCACAACCTTTTAGGTTCACAGGACAGCACGCCAACCGAGGCGCCGGCCAGGGCTCTGTTTGTAATTTTTACAGGAACTCTTTTTCCCAATGGCGATCCCATTTCACATTCCCACCAACCACGTACAAAGGTTCCAGTTTGTTTCACAAAAGTTATTTCATGCAATACAACAGCTACACGAAGAATGTGTTGCCCCCGTTTACATTTGAAGGCACTGAAGCTTGCGAAGGTTAAGTAACCGACTTGTACAAAGTTACCTAGTTACAGTGCCGAGCCTGCATTTAGGTCCCATTCGTCTAAGTTCATCGCTAGCTACACTGTTGTATCATCTGTATTACCCACCTCTGCTATACATGGTCGGGGTTCTTCCTTTAGAACAACTCTGGTGAAATGTTGGAAATTACAGTTTACAAATAAGTTATTTGGAAATAAAAAGTAAACATACAGGTCATTTGTTCACTAATTGGCATTTGTCTGAACATATTTTAGTATACTTTAAAGTTAGATTCGCTCATCCATGATACTTGTTGTTTCTAGAGCAATGTTGATCCCAGAGATGATGTATTTGGATACCCTCAGCAATTCGAAGACAAGCCAGCATTAAGTAAGACAGAGGACAGGAAGGAGTACAACATCGGTGTCCTCAGACACCTGCAGGTCATCTTTGGCCACTTGGCTGCCTCTCGGCTGCAGTACTATGTGCCCAGAGGATTCTGGAAGCAGTTCAGGTAAGCCGTGGGTGGGTGGGGATGGGGATACTGCTTACACCTGTGAGCCGCTCAATACATTGAACTTCCAAAATAGATGTCGGAAGGCCTCTTTATGTTTCCGCAATAGTAATATTCACACTTCCTAGTTCGGCTTTTTGCTCATTGTCCTCAAAGGAGGAGGAAGATAGTGTCATAGGAAGGGGAGGCAGCATTCTTTAGTCTTTGAGGGTGTTACAATTTTTTCCTTTGTTTTGAGAAGTTCTCATATTTATAGAAGTAGGGAAGAGTATAAACCCTTAGTGTGTGTCACCCTACTTCAACAGTTTGCAACTCATGGCCAGTCTTGATTAATCCACATTCCCATCTACGTCTTTCCAGATTGCTTTGAAGCAAATCTCATGCATAGTTTCATTCATAAATATTTCAGTCTATATCTCAGATGTCTTTTGAAAAATACAACCATAATTCTATTGTCCTGTCTTTTAAAAAATCCTTAATATCCTTTTCTCATAATTGTTTATTACTATATTTTTTTTAAATATTTCTTTATTGATTTCAGAGAGGAAGGGAGAAGGAGAGAGAGATAGAAACATCAATGATGAGAGAGAATCATTGACTGGCTGCCTCCTGCACACCCCCCACTGGGGAATGAGCCCGCAACCCAGGCATGTGCCCTTGGCCGGAATCGAACCTGGGACCCTTCAGTCCGCAGGCTGACGCTCTATCCACTGAGCCAAGCCGGCTAGGGCTATTACTATATTTTAAAATCAGGATACTAATTAAGTCCATA